ATAATTTCAATTGCCTAGAATTCTAGAGTATAAATAGCCCAAATCACACAATCAAAAGTGACACATTGTAGGACCCTGATCAAAATTACAATGTCAATTACCTCTTCACCATTTCACCAGCAATTGAAATTATTCTCCTCAAGTGAACACAGCCTACAATATTTTATCAGTTTTATTCCTCAGCCAGAATGTACATTAGTGAAATGACACCCGTGGTGTACATTTGCATGTGCTGTTCAGATCTTCTTCTTCAAGGAAATAATTGTTACCCTAGCTGGAGCCTGGTGCACAAAGCAAGGCTGCAGTCTTCTGGAGCATCATATAATCAAGATCTGCTGCCAAGTTGTGAAGTTCAGGCCATTTTCCTACCACTGCTGACAGTAAGAAAGGACAAGTTTAGCCCCAGAGTTTTCCCATGAGAAGAGCCTTTAATTGGCATTAGAAATGCCTGGCAGCTCAATTTCTCGCTCCACCCAAGCCTTCTTCATTCTGCAGATGTTGAGCTGAAGGACAAGCTCCACTCACAGGCTGCACTCCAGTTCAATGTTACTGCTGCAGAGAACTCAGTGTCGTTTAACTACTTTGCACTAAGAATAAGTGGACCATTTATGATGCTTAATCTCAATTCTGTCAAATTGCTTGGTTTGGGAACCACCAAAGGATCATAGGAGCTCATTTCTGGCCATGTCTGAATGTGTCTGAGTTGTGGCCTCCAGTACACCCGATCCTCTCTGGCTTTCCTCCCTGCTCTGCTTCATAGCCTCCATGAACTACACAGCTCTGTACCACCATGCTCATCCACCATGATGTTTTTCTCTTGAAACCAGTAGACCATGGGCTGAAATTGTGAGGCTAATTATACCCATCCTCCTTTAATTCATTGGGTATTAGTCACCCATTAATATACCATTGGATAATAAAAGTGGGGTTCTTATCTTCATATCAAATAGTTCTATAACATAAATTAGAATTGTTTTATATAGGTACATTTATGATAATCAGGATCCAGTACATAAATTTTTTTTCTAGATTGCACGTTACTAAATTAATGTCACAGAAAGATAATTTTTCAAAGCTTCAGTGAAATATAGAGAATAAAATTAAAAATTATACACATATAAATATAATTGTATATGTTGCATTGTTGAAGGCATGCTATACAGAAAATATAAATAATCTACTTAATAATTGAAACAACATTGTCTTTCCTGGCAAAAGAAGCATTTAAAAATATATATATATTAATTTTCTATTCTACAGTAGGTCACAGAATAGGAAAAAGCAGTAAGGAATTGCATTATGCAAATGGCATAGTAATACAGCAGTCATGACATACTCTACCAAAATATTTGACCTTTAAGGAAGCAGATATATCAAGTTATAGTATATGACATCATGATTAATATAAACTTGTTTCTATTTACCAATTCCTTAATCTAAGGAAAAGGTAGAAACTAAATATTTATGGGCACAAACATGTTTGTGTATTCATAACTGATCCACTAGGGAAAAGATTTAAGACACTGGCCCCAGAACTCAGAAAATACGAATGTAGATATATAAATAAATATGATAATATGCTGTGGTAGATTAGGAGTCTCTTTAATGGTTCCAGCCTATTGTACATTATTTATATAATTATGAGAAATTTCATATGAAATATTATCAGTAATTAAGAAAGTTGCAGTATATTTGGCTAGCACGGAAAACTTTATGACATGGAGACATAAAAATGTTTTTTCAACTTTCCAGCTGAAGGTTTGACTTTTTAAAAGAAAAGAGGATTTATGAAGCATTGAGCTTCCCACCTAGAAAGGTCTAACACAGCAAAATAATGAGCTCTTGACGAGGGATATTCTGTACTTCACTGGAACTGCAAAAAATGTGCTTGGCAGAAGGCTCACTGAACTCAAAAAAGAAAACTTTTAGTCTTGAGGAAGAAAATGTCAGTGAAACTGAAAAAATTGTACACATATATACACATGTATATGCATGTGTGTAGATATACAACATGTTTGTATATACAAATATGCGTCAACAAAATTTGCCTTTCAGAAAGAACAAAATTAGGCAACAAGAGCAAGAAGAAAAATCTCTAAACATTATATACACCTAGAAACAAAATTGTAGAAAGTTTTAAATAACGTTCAAACAAATACAATTTAATATGAACTGAATAAAGGGAAACAGAAAAATTGAATGTCTGTGATGAGAAAATGCTTTTTCATCATCAATTAACAGACCATCTCTAATAATATGCTCCCAAGCTTGGTTCCTAACTTTAACCCTCAACAGCTTGGATACAGACAGAAGCTGGTAGGGAAATTTTTTTCTTTTTCTTTTGGTACCAGGGATTGAACTTGGGTCCTTGCGCTTGCAGGGCAGGCGGTGGAACCACTGAGCTAAATCTCCGGCACTTGTAGGTAATTTTGATATGAAGCTGATATAGCTAATGTATTAGATTTGTTTTCAAATTGTTAATTGGAACAGCTCAAGAAAGGACATAATGTAATAAGTCAAAGCAAAGAAAAATTTTAGTTGGTGAACTGTGGAAAATTTCATGTGGGAGAGATCTAGAGATATAGGGCTGCCCAAAAAACAAAAATTGTCTTAGAAGTAGTCAGTCAATGCGCATAGTTTTAATGAATCTCTTTATTGAGGAGAATATTGAAGTAGCGCATATATTTTTGGGTCTACTAATTTAAAAGTGATATTTTAACCTATTACTAAAGGTTTAGAGAACATGTATGGTAGAAATCTTACCATGCAAAAGTAAAACAGAAAATTATGACATTGAAAGAAACCTTGGGGCAATAGTCTGACTATGTGTCAGATAAGGATAAATGACTAAAGAGTCTCTACAATATTCTAGAAAATTTTCTGAAACATTGAAAATTTAATTTGTCTGTGAATACAATCAATAGTGTATAGCCTTAGTATTTCCAGAAATTATAATATCAATTTAATTTAATTCATAAGTAGCTTTGCACTTGTTTTAATCTTTAAAAATAGAAGATAGTTCATTCTTCAATTCATTATAAAACTCCGTTTCTTGTTCAAATATGTATACATATAGAAAAAGTAAGGTGATCATCACGCAAATATACACTATTTGATTCATGTAGGTACTTTAAAATATCCTTTGGATGACCTTGAAATAATTTCTAAAATGTAACCCTTTGAGAATCAATAAAAATAATGAACTCATTTTCATTTTTGCAGCAATATGAATTATAAATATATTTTATAACTAATGATAATTTTGAGGGGAACTTTCATCTTGTATGATAATACATATTGAAGTAGATACCCTTTACAATGTATTTATATAGACAGAAAGCAAAATCTATGATAGTAGAATATAAGTTACAGACTGCTTTTAGAATTCAGATATAATTTTATTAAGCCAACGTTATAGATCCTATTATATTTGGTTCAATATTTTGAAAGACCTTGTTGGGTAGATTATACACTGTGAACTACTTTTACTAAACTGTAGTACAGTTTAAATTACAATAAGACAACTCAGAGCAAAAGAGAATCAATTTTCATCTTCAATACTACTTCACTGAGACTACATGTTCTGGGAAACTGGATTGTTAGGTTCTTACAATTTGCCTTCCATTTCAATGCAATCCTTTTTGGATAATGCAAGTAGAAAAGTTTTTTTTTTTTTTTTTTTTAAATCTCAAGTAAAGCATAGCAAATAATGAAAACAATATCTCCAAGTTTACCAGACCAGCAGAAATATTTGAGATCTTCCTATGTGAATCTCTAATTAAATTGACCTTTTTTACATTTTATTTGTTTAAAATAAAAAAGGCTGTTGAGCCTCAGCTTCTCCCAAGCAGATGAATAGGCATGGCTTCATATTGAGTTTGATTTTCTCTAGTCCTTGAGCAGCAAGAAGAACGATTCATAATTGAAGTATTATTAGATCCCATGCATGAAATAATGCTGTGGTTTCTGGCAAAGCTCCTTTTACATAAGAGGTACTTGACAAATAATGATTTGAACTACACTCAGCAGGAACTTGTCTTCTGTTACGGTTTCTTATTATGTTGGCCTGTGTTAAGAAATTAAAATAAAAATGAACTAACATAACTTGTAACACTTCAGCACCATGATGATCCCTTTCGGCTCTCTGCAGTAGGCCTTATTCTTTCTCTCCTGTTCCCTAACTTTCC